GAGAGTCTGGCACTGGAGGTGCCTCTGGCAGCGGAAGGGTTAACGTCTGGCTGGAGGGGAGGGGGAGGGGCAGGGAAGGGGCTGCGGGGCTTTGAGGGGTCAAGGGTGAGCCGTGCAAGTGGGAGGGGGCCGCAGAGGAGGGAGGGAGGTTGTCTGGGCTGCCAGACGGGCCAGGGTCAGCGGCGGGGGCAGGGGATGTCTGGCGGAGGAGAGGCCCAGCATCCAGGCTCCCTTGGGGACCCGGGATTCCAGGCCCCAGCCCCCTCCTCCCTTAGACTTGGGAGTCCGCAACCCAGCCCCCTCCCTCAGAATTCCAGAATCCGAACCCGTAGTCCCCTTTACCCCAGGATCCAAGAGTCTGGGCCTCCAGCCTCTTCTTCCCTCAAACCTGGGGGGGGTCCACATTCCAGCCCCGACTTCACGAAACCCTAGAGTTTGGGGCCCCAGCCCCTGCCTCCCCTGAACCCAGGAGTCCCCACCTCCTCCTTAGCCCCAGCTGGAGTCCAGCCCTCTGGGGGTTAAGGGGGCGGGGCCAGCTGGTTGCCATAGTGCCAGACTGTTTGGGTTTGCTCTCTGACCCTTGGGGGCTCCCCAGGGTCTGTGGAGAGGGGGAGGGGGACCCAGACCTGGGGGAAGTCCAGCGCCAACCTTTTCCCCAAATCGGGCCTCTGGGCCCGGGGAGTTCGCGTCTCCACCAAGGCCTTGCCCAGTGACCTTGAACAAGTCCTGACCCATCTCTGTGGGCCTCAGTTTCCCCAAGGAGAAATTTGTTGGAGGAGTGGGGAGATGCTCAGGTCCTACAAATCTTTAAGATTCTCCGCTTCCCCTCTCTTCTCACCCCCCTCCTCAGGCCCCAGGCAGCCCCGGGGCATGCTGGGAACCTAGGCCTGGGCTCTGGGCCAGGTTGTTGTGGGGGGCGGGGCAGCCTCCTCCCTTCCCCTTCCTCCCCACCTTGGCCTGACTCTCGCCCCCGCCTGAGGGTCTGGGAGGTTGGGAAGGAGGGACGGGGGATGCGAGCTAGGCCCGTAGACCCGTCTCTGGCCCCCTCCTCCCCCTTTCCTCCTCCGCCCCCTTCCCGCCTCTCCTCCCCCTCCTCAGCAGGTCGCTACCCCAGCCCTGGGCCCCTTCTCGAACCACCCCCACCCCACCCCCAGCTCCAGACCTGGCTCTGAGCTGCTGCGAGGGGGAGGGAGAGAGGGAAGGAGAAAGAGGGAGAGGAGGGGGGGAGGGAAGGGAGGAGAGAGACCTAGGAGGGAGGGAAGGAGAGAGGGAGAGAAAAGGAGAGAGACAGAGACGGAAGGAGAGAAGGAGACCGAGAGATGGAGAGAAGAGGAGGAGAGGGAGGGAGCCGGGCAGAAACAAGGGAGTGGGGAGGAGAGGGAGACAGGGAAATTGAGGGAGAGAGAGGAGGAGAGGGACAAAGACCGAGGGAGGGGGGAGGAGAAGGCGAGGGTGAAAGACAGAAGAGAAAGGAAAAGAACGAGAAAAGAGAGAGGAGAGAAGGGAGAGAACCAGGAGGGGAGAGAGGAGAGAGACGGACTGAGAAAAGGCCCTGGGAGGAGAAGGAGGAGAAGGCAAAGCGGAGGGGGAGGATGGGAAGGGCAGAGCCAGGGAGAAGCACACGGAGGCAGGAGGAGATGGAGACCAGGTAACATCGGAGCCGAGAGTGGGACCGAGCTGCGAGCGGCAGCAGAAAGGGACCGCGGGACGTTGAGAGAGAACCAGAAAGGTGGACATGGTGCGGGAGACAGTGAGAGCAGCACAGATCGAGCCCTGGACAGGGGCGTAGGCTCTCAGGTGCACAGGCTCAGCCCAGGGATGGGGAGGGCGGGTGCTGGTCCCGCCGCCTGGCAGGCCTGGCCCCTCCCACTTACCGGCCGGCTGTAGCCAAGCCCCTTCCTTACCCCTCTCTGGAGCTCAGCCTTCCCACCTGCAAAATGGGGGTGCTCAGGGCACCGAGTGCGCCTGCCTACAAGGTGACAGGGGCCTGGGGCGGAATCAGCGCTCAGGGTCTGGTAGCTGTCAGTGTTGTAAATGATGAGAGGCCAAAAGAAGGGACGAGAGTAGGGGAGAAAATATCCAGAAAGACTTTGAAGGTTTTCTATACCGTGGGCAGCCTCCACCCTGGTCTTGGATTGCTATATCTGACAGGTAGGTGGGGAGCCATGTTGCCCAAGGGGCCAGACTCCAAAACAGGTGAGGTTCCCTCTGACCCGGCCTCCAGGAAGCCAGGCTGTGCCTTCTCCAAGGAGGCAGGCCTAGCTGGACTCCCGGGTTTGAGGGAGGGGGCTGGGGGCCTGGCCTCCTGGGTCCCCTGGGGAGAACGGGTCTGTGGACTTGGACTTCTGAGTCTGAGGGAGGAGGGAGCCTGGATTCCAGGGACCTTTGGGGAGGAAGGGTCCAGGGGCCTGAACTCTTGGGTCCGTAGTGAGGAAGAGGCCGAGGGACTGATTCCTGGGTTCCTTGGGGAGGAGGGGGCCGGGGGCCCGGAATCCTGGGTCCTGGCACCCACCCGTAGAACCGACCTTGCGGGGCCTTCGCCGCACACAAGCTCGTGTCTGTGGGTCCGTGTCGGGGGCTCACCATCGCGGCTGGGGCCTCCCCGGCCCTCCCCGCCCTCCCTGGCCCTCCGGGTCCCCGTCTGTCCGTCCATCCGTCTGTCTGTCCACCTGCCGCGCCCCCCGGGCTGAGGTAGGAGGTTGTATAGTTGAGGAGGACACCCACGGAGATCACTATACGGCCTCCTAGCTTTCCCCAGGCTGCGCCCTGCACGGGACGGCCGGGCGGGGACCCCCGACCCGGCTGCCCAACCCGCCGGGCTCAGGGGGCTGCTGCAGGGACCCAGGGAGGAGGAGCTGGGCTGCCCCTCCTGTCCTCTCCCCTGCATTCTTTCCTCCCTCTTCCCTCAAAGAGTTTCTCTCCCATCAAGAAATCTCTGTTTTGCTTTCTCGCTCTGTCTCTCCATCCTCCGTGGAGTCTGCACTGTGGCCTCTCAGGCTCTGCCTCCATCCGCCTCTCACTGTGCTTTCTGGGTCTCGGACCCTCCCGATTTCTCTCTGTGGCTCACTTTCTGTCTTTCGGGCGCTCGAGGTGTCTCTGTGTCATGTCCATTTCCACCACACCCCCTTGCTCCACCCCAGGGCCTGGCGGGCCCCCCTGCACACCGCACTGCCGGCCTCTGGGTCCCTGAGACCCTTTAACCTGTGAGGACGTCCAGGGTCACAGGTGAGGTTCTTGGGAGCCTGGCGTCCGGCCCAACCACAAGCCTGGGGATTGCTGGCCTAACCCCTGACCCCTGACCCCGCACATCCTTCCCCCTTCCTCCCTCAAAACCCTGAACCTGACATCTGATAGGCAACTGAAACCCGACCTCTGACCCCGTATCATGAGCCCCTCCCCCACCCTGTGGTGACCTCACAAAAGTCACCAGCTTCTCCCCAGGCCAAGACCCTCCGCTATGGCCCTGCTGGTCCCAGCAAGCTCTGTCCTGTCTGCCCTAGTGGCCCTGACGGTCTTCAGGGCCTCCGCCTGGGCCTGTCTCCTCTGCTTCACGTCCTACAATGAGCGCCTCCAAATCTGCCAGATCTTCGCAGGCCTGGAGAGCCCCAACCTCGGGAAGTGTGAGGAGGCCTTCACGGACGCCTTTAAGGGCCTCCTGGACACAGAAATCAGTGAGGAGACCCCCACCATCCTCCAGGGCTCCGAGGGGGTTGGCGGAGGGAAGGACCAGAGAAGCTAGGGGAGCCTGAGGGGGACAGAGACTCAGAGACAGGAGGATGTAGATAGGGGGGGACAGGGACTCAGGGGAGGTGAGAGACCAGTGAGGACAGAGATTGAGAAAGAGAAAGGAAAATGTTTACACTGGGGACATGGTATGGGGGGAGCTGCTTCCCCCAAGCTGCTGCCTCCCACCCCCAGACTACGATGAGCGAGGCCACTTGCACGATGCCTTCACCCAGATGACCCACTTCCTCCAGGAGATGGCCACCGCCCAGGGTGAGTGGGGCAGGGATGGCAGCGGTGGGAGGTGTGGGTTTGGAGCCCCCAGGAGACAGATGTTTGTGCGCAGAAGGCCTGGAACTTGGCAGTGGTCTCTGGGGAGGTGGCGCTGGGAAGCCCAGTGAGCTGGGCTACCTTGTCGGGGAGGAGCAGGGGCTGGTGGGGGGGCGAGGGGACACTGCAGAAGTACCTTAGAGTGTGAAGCCCGCTGGGATCAGGGAGATGTAAGCTCTGACCTCACTGGGTGGCTTGCCCTCTTTCTGGCTGTGAGATTCTGGACCTGTCACTGCCCCACCCCCACCCACCACCCTGGGCCTCAACCTACCCACCTGTAAGATGGGACAGCCTCCTTGCCTCCCAGGACAACCTTGGAACTCAGTGAGAGGCAGGGACCCCTGATGAGACAGACTTCAGGGAGGAGCTCTTCCTTTAGTATAAAATGCACATATTGCCTAGAGTTAACAAAGGGATTCCACATTTTTGACATGTGAGGCTATTAGTGGGAAGGGAGACAGGTGGAAACAGGGGGAGAGAGGATCATTCAGGTGACAACCGTGCAGGGAGTCAGGCACCCAGGACAGCCCTGGAGTGGGTGAGACCCACGCGTGCAGCTCTGGAGAGATGTGGGCATGTGGTGGTGGGAAGGGACCTCAGGGCTGGGGCAGCCCTCATGGCCCAGCGGCAGCATGAGCCATAATCACACCAGGCCACCATGATCACATGACACAGGATCCCCCTGGTGTGTTGGAGACTGGAACTGTCAGGGGTGGGCATGTGGGAAGGAGACCTGACTGCTGGCTCTTGTGCAGTATCACCGGCCACCTCAGTGGTCCGGGGCTCTGGACTTACCACAGCACCCTTGTGTTATCACTCCTTTTGCTTCCTGATCTTGCCCACCAAGCTTTTGGACAAAGCTCCCCAAGGATGAGGAAGTTCCCACCTCCTCCCCGGGAAGGGCACTCCAAGGGGCCAGCATGGGGAAGACTTTAGCTTCCGATCCCCGTCCCCAAAGTGAGAGCTGAGGAACTCAGGGCTGCCAGTCAGGGAAGGGGGACTCAAGACTCCAGGAGAGGCCCTTTTTCCCCCACAGAGACCAGCTTGTCACAGAAGGTTTTGAAAAGAGTGAGAACAAGTCCAGCTCCGGGGGTCAAAGACCCTCTTGGGCTGTGTGGGGGACAGACTGGAGCAGGGGAAAGAGCGGAGGCTGGGAGGCCCGGATGGAGGCTGTGGTGACGGAGGCCTGAGCTGGGACAGGGATTATAAAGGTGAACATCTGAAAGGCAGCAGATCCATGAGTCCAGAGTTCAGCTGGGAGTCAAGGGAGAGTTGAGACTCTGTCCTGAAGGAGCTGGGCCGTGAGCTGGGGAAGATGAGGTCAGCTCTGCATGTAGAAAGTTCCTCTGGTGCCCATATGGAGGACGGACTGGAGGGAGAGACTGGAGGCCGGGAGAAGCTGGTGCAATACATTCCATAGATATTTATTGAATGGGCCACATTCAGGGGACACAGCTGTGACCAAAACTGCGTACCACCTGCCCTGAGGTTGCTTATATGGGGGGGGGCAGTGAGGGGGAAACAGAAGAGGAAGGAAATGGGGTGATCATTTTAAATAGGTTGATCAGGGGAGGTGCAGATGAGAAGGTCCAATTTGAACAAAGACCTGTACTGGCTGACAGTGAGAGCTTGGCAGATGATCTGGGGAGAGAGCTTCCAGGCAGAGGGAAGAGCCAGTGCAAAGGTCCTGGGGCCAGTGAGGCTAGAGTGGACCTTGCAGGGCAGTAGTTCTGCAGCCTCACAGTATATGGCATAATCCCCTGGGAGCTTATTAAAATGATAAAAATGCAGACTCCTGGGCCCCACCCTCCGGTTTCTGACCAGTAGTTCTGAGGTGGGACCCAGAATGGACATTTCTAATGCATTCCCAGCCGATGCTGCTGCTGGTCTGGGAAGACAGTTTGAGAACTGCTGTTGTGGGTCCTTAGACTGAATTCAGACAAGGTGCTCCCTCTTTCCAGCTATATCTGGTGAGCATTAGTTCAGCCAGTCTCTTCGGCTTTTGCTCACGATACGGGGAAGCCCTTGGAGGATTTTACGGACAGAGAGATGGGGAGGATCAGACTAAGGCCATGTGGGTCAGGGCAGAAGCAGAGAGACCAGTGAGGAGACAGTCAGTGATGGTTTGGTCCTGTTGTGGTAGTTCAGGTAGACCAAGATGAAGCTGCCCCCTACATAGAAGACGCTGTGTCTGCAGACTTATTTATGTTAATTATCCTCCTAAAGAATATCTTTGTACCAGCCCTGCGAGGTGGGGGTTTATAGCCCCATTCTCCAGATGGGGACGTTGGGGCTCAGCTGGACAGTGGGGACAGACTCAGAGATATCTGGACCAGTCCTATGTGGAATGAGGGAGATGGACGATTCCTGGGTCTTTCTCAGATGGAGGACCCGAGAGATGGATGTGCTGACTCAGAGCAGCTCCTGGTGGTGGCCGGTGATACTGTTAGTGTAGGTAAGGCATGGAGTGGAGAGGGTGGTGTAGGGAGAGGGCAGTGTACCACAGGTAATGGTCACAAGTGGACCGCCTGGGTTCCAATCTAGCTGGGTGTCCTTGGGCCCCCTTCCTTGATTTCCCCATCTCAAACCTGGGGATGGTGATACCAGATACCAGTTATAATATGTCAATTTTTGGTGTACAGCACAATGTCCCAGTCATGCATATACATACGTATATTTGTTTTCATATTCTTTTCCTTTAAAGATATTGAATATAGTTCCCTGTGTTATACAGAAGAAATTTTTAATCTATTTTTACATATAGTGGTTAACATCTGCAAATCTTAAACTCCCAAATTTATTCCTTCTGTCCCCCTTTCCCCTGGTAACCATAAGATTGTTTACTTTGTCTGCAAGTCTGTTTCTTTTGTAGATGAGTTCATTAGTGTCCTCTTTTTCCTTTTCTTTTTATTTTTTATTTTTTTTAGATTTCACATGAGTGATATCATATGGTATTTTTCTTTCTCTTTCTGGCTTACTTCACTTAGAATGACAATCTCCAGGCCCATCCATGTTGCTGCAAATAGCATTGTTTTATTCTTTTTTTAATCACTGAGTAGTATTGCATTGTATAAATATACCACGACTTCTTTATCCAATCACCAGGCACCATTCTAAGTGCTTAGAGACATTATCCTATGCAATCATTAAGTGGTACTGGGCCACATAGTTTGTGAGGGGGATGCTTTTACATTGTATGACATAAGTTCTCCCCACCGGCCCTGTGAGGTTGATACCAATATTGTCCCCATTTTATGAATAAGGAGACTGAGGATCAGGATGGTTAGATACTTGGCCAAGGTCACATAGGGAGGAGGACTTGTGATGCATACCTCAGGTGTGAGACAGGTGTACTCATAGAGAACTCAAACTCAGATGATCAGAAACAGTTGAAGTTCCTAATCTTTGGGGGAGACTTTATAACATCCACCTGCGCCCCCTTGTGGTTCACTTAGCATCCCCCCCCCCCCCCGCCCCTTGGCCTCTCTGGGTATTTCACTCCATCCCTAGTTTACTACTATGCTTCACTAGATATATGACATTCTCCCCTGCCCCATGGCTAGCTTGGTATATCCCACACACCCTCCCCATGAGTCATTTGGTTTGGCCCATAGATATTCCTTGGATGCCTTCCCAACATCCTGGCCACTCATTTGAGCACCCCACTCTGACCACATCCTCCTTACCAGGCTGCCATCTCCAGACCACATGCCTGCCTTGTGGCCAAAGAGAGACCTCTAAGTCTGTGACCCCTCGTTTTGAACCTGCTCCCTTGCTTCAGTGCCCCCTCCCTCCAGCTTACACCCAATGACCATCACTTCAGCCAGTCTCCTCAATTCCCTCCCTTTTTGTATGGTTTTAAGTGGCAGAGGAACCTGCAATGGCTTAAACAAGCTAGAAGTTCATTTCTCCCATATAAAATAAGTCTTGAGGTTGGCCCTCAAGGCTAGCATGGCAGCTCCATTTTCTCTGGGACCTAAGCTTCCAGATTTCTGCTTTACCATCCTAGGGTATACCCCTTTTATTTTCATGGTCCTATGTAACTGCTAGAGCTCCAGCCCTCAAACCCAAGTTTCAGGCAGCAAGATGGAAGAAAGGGAAAGGATCAATAAAATGGCATCATTTCTCTTTTAGGGATACTTCCTGTAACTCACACATGACCCTTGCACTTATATTACAGTGATCAGAACTTGGTCATAGGACCACCCTCCCATCTAGGTCACGTGACCATGGTTGGAAGGGAGGCTTTTAGCTGGGGTGGGGAGTGGGGCAGGGCGGGGTGCTTTCCTAGCTGAAAATCAGTGTCATGTTACTAAAAAGAAAGTAGACACCTTGAGGCAACTGGCAATCTCTGTGTATTAGTTTGCTCAGGCTGCTGTAACAAAATACCATAGACTGGGTGGCTTAAATAACAAATTTGTTTGTTCACCATTCTGGAAGCTAGAAGTCCAAGATCAAGGTGTCAGTGTTGGCAGGGTTGGTTTCTTCTGAGGCCTGGCTCCTTGGCTTGTAGATGACTGTCTTCCTTCTGTGTGTGTCTGTGTCCAGATTTTCCTCCTCTTCTAAGGAAATCAGTCATGTTGGATTAAGGCCCACCATAATGATCTCATTTTGACTTAATTACCTCCTTAAGACTCTATCCCTAACTATTACATTCTGAAGGCCTGGGGGTTAGGACTTCAACATCTGAATTTGGGAGGGACACAGTTCAGCCCATAACAACACCCTGTCCCATTTCTGACTGCTAAAACCATCTCCACCAGTAAATCATTCCAGCCATCCGCTTGGAAAAAGCCAAAAAACCTTATAGTGTGGAGGCCATTATGATGGTCAAAACTCAAACAGCCATAAGGACAGAGAATATAAAGGGAGTGAAAGAGGAGTGGAAATGAAGAGGCTAGGGATCCTGAAAAAGTGGTGGGTGTGTGCCCTCTCTAAAGGGGCTGGCTGCTACTAAGCTCCAGCTAATGCGCCTCATGGAAATAGTCTGTGTTACAGCTCTTCCAAATTCTTTAAAGGGATGCCAAACATTTTATTTGACTTCCCCAAATTTTATATGATGGCAACTGGTTCATTTTGAAAAATACTTACCAGGCCAAATATAACACATCCAAAGTCTGGACTGGGGCCACAGGCCTCCAGTTGTGGTCTCCATTCCAGTTGGATCCTGGAATTCATTCTTCACATACCAATTGAGCACTTTCTAAGACTCGGGGCCCTCTCCTGGGTTCTGAGAACACAGTGCTAAAGAAGGACAGGTTTGCTTACTTAAGAGACAGGCTTAGCAGGGAGGTATAGCTCAGTGGTAGAGTGAGTGCCTAGCATGCATCAAGGACCTGGGTTCAATCCCCAGTACCTCCATTATAAATAAAATAAATAAATAAAATAAATAAAAACCTAAATACTTCCTCCCACCCAATTTTGTTTTTTTAATTTTTAAAGGCTTAAATGATCACTATATATATATACAGAAATATTTGGAAACTGGTGAGAGCTCTGAAGGGGGCACTGGTAGAGACAAAAATAGGGTACTGGATTCAATTAGATCTGTGGTCAGGGAAAACCTCTAAAGAGGTGACATGAGGTCTGACATGGAAGATGAAAAGTAGTGGGGGGAAAGATGTGCTATGTACAGAAGCCAGCATGTGCAAAGGCCCTGGGGTGCTAGACAATATGGTTCTTTTCATATTAGGGGTAATGAAAGGTGGGTAATAGGGATGGAGTAGAGAGGGAGAGGAGACTAGGCCTAGTGGGCCTTGGAAGAAATTTGATCTTCATGCTCCCCTTTCCCCTCAACAAGATAAAGTCAGATGATGCAGAAGGGTTCCATCAGAGAGATAGTCCAGAGGCAGCAGAAGGTAGGAGACTTGGGGACTTGTCAGCCTTCTGGCTAGACAGGGTAGGAGGAGCTGAGAAGAGGGATGTGGTATATACCAGAGACCCGCGGGTGGAGAGGGACTGGGGAAGGGGCACAAACACCATGACGACAAGTTCTACAAGTTCAGCCAGCCTTGGGGAAGTGTGTGTACTACAAGGACTCCCTCCACCCTCCAGGGTCCTTTCGGGTCGCCTTCCCTGATGCCGCAAAGAAAATGCAAAAGGTTATATTACAGCTTAAAGAAGGTAAAATAGACCATCTCCGTCCCCTAGGCACAAACACCACTCCCGCGAACCCCATCCGCTTCCTTCAGACCAGTCCCCCGGCCCGATCTCGTCCCTTGGTGGGTCACTCCTGACGCCTCTTTCCCTGCTTGGACTTCTCTGGGTCCGGCCCCACCCCTCTAGCTAGGACCGCTTCTTAAGACAGTCCTGTCCCAGATTAGCCTGGACTTCTTCCTGGATCTGTGTCTGGCCCTGTGTGCTCGGTGAAAAGTTTCCTTTCCAATTTGGCCTCTAGTGGGCTGCTTTTAGTCCGGCCACACCTCTAGCTAACTCCCCTAATTAAACCCTGATCCCTCAGAGGATCGCCGAGGATCTAGGCCTGCCTCGGTGGAATACACCAGGACTGGCCTTGTCTCCTTAGTGCCAGCAGCAGACCTGCCGCCCTTGTCCCCACACCTGGCCTTAGATGCTCGCAGCAGGCCTGTGCCTGACCTCTTAGCGGAATGTTGCAGGCCCCGCCCCGCCTACAGGTGGAATGCTGCAGGTTTGACCCCGCCCCCTAGGTGGACCGCGGCAGGCCTGACTCAGTCCCCTCGGAGGAATGCACCCGGCCCAGTAACAGTTACTGTAGGGAAGCTTCAGGTGGGCACCTCCTGCGACTTACAGGGTAGTAATTCTTCCTCTCTCTCCACAGCCCAAGCCTGCATCCCTCCCTGTGGTAAGCACTTCATTCAAAGCTCGGAATTGCTGGGGGAGGTGGTAGGGGCCGCTATAGGGGACTGGGAGGAGTGGGAGAGCACAGGTGGGTCTCTGATCCGAAGGGGGCCAATAAGAACCCTGGAGAAAAGTAAGTACACCCGGTATTGTTCACACCTCATAAAAGGAGGGCCCGAAAACTAAGGCAAACCAATAGGAACCCGAGAAGCCGGAGACTGGCGTGAGGTAGCAAATGTGCGCAGGGAAGGCGGGGCTCAGATTCGGTCTGGAGAGTAGAACCCAGGGAGATATTTAGACCTTAAGGTGGCCGAAGGGACCCGGGCTGGGGAAGGCAGATGGAGCCCAGACCCAGCTTTCCCGTTCCGTAGGACTCCAGGAGGTCGCCCGGCGTTTCCGCTGCCGCGGGTGCTACTCCACGGTCTGCGACCTCCCGCTGGACTGCCCAGGTGAGGGGCGTGGCCTTGAAGGGCAAGGAACCTGACAAACTGGAGGAGGGAGCTGAGCTAGGAGGTAGCTGAGCTAGGAGGGGCGTGGTGCGGGGCGGGGCCTTGACGCTACCCTGTCTTCAGTTAAGGACGTGACAGTGACTCGGGGTCAACAGGCTATGTTCTCTTGCACTGTGAACTTCCAGCTGCCGAAGGAAGAGATCACCTATTCCTGGAAGTTCGCAGGAGGTGTGAGTCAGGGCGGGACCAGCGCAAAGGGTCTAGGGGGCGGGTTATACTTCCCTGGAGGTTGCGGAGTCTGGACGCAGCGGGTGGACAAGCTCTAGGGTCTCGGTCCAGATTCAGACTTCGTGCAAGGGGAGGGTTCTGGCATTTAGGGGAAGAGTCAAAGCTCACAATGCAGAACCAGAAATCGGGTAGTTATCCGTAAGGGTTTGGGGCAGGATTGCAAATATTAGGCCTATGGGGCGGAGTCAAGACTTAGAAGGCGGGGCTATGCGTGAAGAATCGCGCCGAAGAGCTGAGGGTGGGGCCGGGGCTCGGGAAGGCGTGGCCTGGTTCGGGGGCGGGCCTTGTACCTAGCGGCTGGGCGAGCCGGGCGGAGGGAGTGTCTCCTGTGCTTGGGGCGGCGTCCCGCTGCGCGCGCCGCGTCAGCCCTAGCGTCCCGCAGATCCGGACTCAGGACCTGTCCTATTTCCGGGAGATTCCGCGGGCCCAAGGATACCTGGCGCGGATCCGGCCAGTGCAGCCCACGCACGGCGGGACCTTCTCTTGCGTGATCACGCACGACCAGCGACCCCTGGCGCGGCTCTACTTCTTTCTTAACGGTGCGGGCGGGGCGGGGCTGAGCGACGAGAGGGCGGGGCTACGGGGGTGGGGCGCGCGCCCGGCTGACGTGCGCGCCCCCGCAGTGACGGGGCCGCCGCCTCGCGGGGAGACGGAACTCCAGGTCTCTTTTCGGGAAGTGTTGCGCTGGGCGCCTCGGGAGGCGGAGATGATCGAACCCTGGAGACCGAGCCTGGGCGAGCTGCTGGCCAGTCCCGAGGCTCTGACGCCGGGCAACCAGTGCCTGCTCGCGGCCGCTGTGGCGTTAGCATCAGCCGGTGTGACCGTGCTGGCGTGGTGAGTCCCCCGGGACCCCGGAGTCCCACATCCGGTTCTCTCCTTCCTCAGACCCGGGAGTCTGGGTTCCCAGCCCCCTCCTACTCAGGAGTCCAGGCCCCCACCCCTCTCCTTCCTCAGACCAGGAGTCCTAGCCCTGTCACCCACCTTTGGGTCCCAGGCTCCAGGACGCAGATTTCTGGCACCCGGCCTCTCTCCCTCCACACATAGACAAACACTTTGTTTCCCAGGATGTTCTTTCTTTTTTTTTTTTCACTTTTTTTTTAATGGAGGTGCTGAACCTAGGACCTCATGCATGCTAAGCATGCGCTCTACCACTGAGCTTTCTATCTCCCCCTGCAGGATATTCTTTCGATGGTACTTAAGCAGCAGCTAACAAAGGTATATTTTTCTTCCTTATCCGATTTCCATCCCTAAAATAAAGAATATATTTCAGCTCTCTAGATTCTTTCATCTTTGAAGGCGGTCATATCCCAAATACGCCTAGGTGAGCAGGCCGCCACCATGACAATAATATACACGGCTGTCACAGTTCGAGCCCAGACCCCTCCCCAGATTTCTGGCAGGATCCTGGACATTTCCACCTGCAGGCATCACCCTCAAGTAGAGTCCTTGATGTCACCCTGAAAGCTGCTTCCTCCTCAAGACTTTCCTGCTGTCATAAAGGGCACCACCATCCACCCAGCTGCCCAACGAGAAACTAAGCTGCATTTAATTCTTCCTCCACTTCCAGTCTTCCAAGTCTCAGCCTTCTCAATTCCTGACTCTCTCGTGGAGTTGTCTTCTCTCTGTGTGGTCCCAGTCACCAACATCTTTTTCCGGGAACAGTGTAGTAGTGTCCCCATTGGCCTCCCTGGCTCCTCTTGGCCTTGTCCCACCTCAGTCCATTGCCCACAAAACAGCCAGAGTAATATTTTGAAGTTTGTCAAATTGGGTCACTCCTCTTACCAGAACCCTTCAGTGCCCCCTCCCCCCCCCCAATTGCCATTGGAACAAAATCCAGTTCCTAGTCAAGGCCTTCAAAGTTCCCCAAGGTTCTGGCTAACCTTGGCTTGCCCCACTCTTTGCCCTTGATCTTTCTACACAGTATAAATGGCCTTTGCTCATTTCTTGTATTCATCCAAATTCTTCTTATTCTCTGCAGGACCTGGGTCCATGCTGTTTTCTGCCTAGATTAATATTTCTTCCCTTTTTGGTCTAGTTAAGTCAGTTAGGATTTCCCTTGAACGGCCTTTACATGCATTAACCCATTTATTCCCCACGACAGCTCTCTGTGGGCTGGCACTGTATTTATGGGCCTGACTCTACCTCCCTCTCATCCCCCTCTTAGCCCCACTGGCCTTCTTTTTTTTGGCCCTTCAACATGCAAAGCTCAGTCCTGTCTCTGGGCCTTTGCACATGCTGTTTGTCATACTTGAAATGACTTTACTCTGAACCTCACAAAGCCACCTCCCTCTCACTGCACAGGTCCCAGCTCTAGTGTCACCTTCTCTGACAACTCCCCTCACCCCATAACTGACCTCCCCTTCTTTTACCTTGTGCATAGCATTCCTTCAGGCCTAATGTAAACTTCTTTTTTAATTTGGTTTCATGCATTCCCCACTTGAAAGGTAAGCTCCTTCACATCCTTATTCACTGATGTGTTCCCCTTCACTGATTCATTCAATCAGCAAACAGTTACTGAGCGTTTACTATGTGCCATGCATTTTCAAGGCCCTGTAGAGACAGCAATGAAAAAATCAGAAGAGACAAAAATCTGCACCTTCAAAATGAGGGAGACGATTAATAGATACAAACTGTTATGTATAAAATAAATAAGCTACAAGGATATATTAAACAGCACAGGGAATACAGCCAGTATTTTATAATAACTTTATTTGGGGGGTTGTAGGTTTATTTATTTATTTTTTAATGGAGGTACTGGGGATTGAACCTAGGACCTCATGCATGCTAAGCACACACTCTACTACTGAGCTATACCCTCCTCCTATAATAACTTTAAATGGAGTGTAGTCTATACAAATATTGAATCACTATGTTGTACACTAAGTTGAAACTTATATAGCATTGTAAATCAACTATACTTCAATTTTTTAAAAAATCTGCACCCTTGTGGAGTTGAGATTCTCGCTGATGGTCAAAAAATAAACAAAAAAATTAAGCAAAAATACACATCAAGTCATATGATAATGGGTGTGATGGAGAAAATAAAGCAGAGAAGCAGAGATAGGGGGTGTTGGGGGAAGAAGGGTAACAATAGGATCTTTGGACAAGGTCTCACTGACAGTGACACCATGATAAACTTACTTACAAAACAGAAACAGGCTCACAAATAAAAAAAAAAAGAAGGAAAGAAACAGACTCTCAGACAGAGAAAACAAACTTATGGTTACCAAAGGGAAAGGGGAGTTGGGGATAAATTAGGAGTTTGGGATTTGCAGATACACACTACTATGTGTAGAATAGAAAAACACACTATGCTGTACACCAGAAACTGTCAGAGCATGGTCAACAGTACTTCAATTTAAAAAAAAGAAAAGGACTTACAGGGACGGTGTAGCTCAGTGGTAGAGCGATGCTTAGCGTGCACCAGGTCCTGGGTTCAATCCCTAGTACCTCCATTAAATAAGTAAATAGACCTGATTATCTCCCCGCCTCCAAAAAAATTAAGTAGGTAATGAAAACATTTTAAAAAGGACTTGAAGGGGATGAGGTACAAGCCATGTGGATATTTGTGTCAAGAGCTCTCCAGGCAAAAGAAACAGCAGGGGCAAAAGCCCTGGGGCAGGAGTTTGCCTGGTGTGCGGAGGAGTAGCCAGGAGGTCAGTATACCAGAGCAAGGCTTTAGGAAATGAGTACGCCATGAGGTCAGAGGGAGCACAGGGGACCAGTTCACGCAGGACCTTGGCCACTGTAAGGTCTGCATTTTCCTCTGTATGAGATCATAGTGGGTTTTGAGCCAAGGAAGGTCATAGTGGTATTAGACTGGACTTACTCAGCTCCTGCATGGATGACAGACTGTAGCAGGGGCAGGGGTAGAAGCAGGGATCACTGCGGGTGCTGCGATCATCCAGGCAAGAGATAGCAACTTTTTACATTTAATTTGGGGGGCGGTAGGTAATAAGGTTTATTTATTTATTTATTATTACTTTTGGTGGAGGTACAGGGATTGAACCCACGACCTCATGCATGCTAGGCACACACTCTACCACTGAGCTATACCCTCCCCCTGAGATAGCAACTTAATAATTGAGGGAAGAGTTGTGGCTCGGGGACAGAGTGGTGACAGGGAAGGTGAGGAGCAGTTGTTCTAGATCTGTCTTGAAGGTAGAGCCATTGGGATTTGCTGATGCATCAGCATGTTGGGTGTGAAAGAGAAGGGTCAAGGATCCTTTGTCTGGACAGCAGCAACGTCCAGGAGAACCCTCTGACATAGGGGACTGTTCTAGATCTGCCCTGTCCAGAATGGCAGCCACCAACCCCATGTGGCCACAAAGCACGTGAATTATGGCCAGTGCAATTGAGAAAGTGAATTTATAATCTTTTATAACTTGATGACATAAATCTAAATCATCCTTCTGTGACAGTAAAAGTCATTGGAGGCTGTGTCCATGGATCTTTAATTCTGGGTCACACCCTCTTTGTTTATTTGACTGAGAGCTCCTGGAAGGCAGGCTCTGCCTCTTGTTTTTGTATTTTCGAACCTGGCGAAATGTGTGGAATTCAGTAGGAATTTAAATGTTTTTGTGACAGATTGACTGAGTCAAAGAATGAAAGAACTGAAAAAAGAACTTAATTTAGTCCCACATGGTGATGGCCACTGTTGTGAACAGTGCAGCTGTAGCATTTGGGGGCCTGAGCAGCTGGAAGGATGGAGTTCTGTTTCTTGAGATAAGGGAGACTGTTGGAGGAGCAGACTGCATGGGGATTGAGGAGGATAGATTGGGAGCTGGGTCTAGTATTAGGTATCCAACTGGAAACATTTTGGAGGCAGTTGGGTACACAATTTAGGGACGAGATCTCCTCTGAAGATGGAAGTTTCAGAGTCCCGTCCCCAGACATGGAGCATGGATGAGGCATTCATGTACAAAAGAAATAAGTGTAGGTGGATGAAAGAGGTGGGTGAGAGGTTTCTTTTTAATAAGTCAGCAACATGAAGAGGAACCCACAAGGAAAACAGGGATGGCAGGGCAGCTGTGGCATTCCGGAAGCCATGTGAAGAAAGCATTTCAAGGAGAGAGTGATCAACTGTCTCAGAGGCTGGATCATAAAGCCTATTTCATGAAGCAAAGGAGATTAGTGTTAATTTTTTTTTAATCTGGTTTTTGGTTGCTGCCTGTACTTCATGTTTTCTTCCGTAAAGAGCTTTGAAGTTTTGATCTGTGCTGTTGTTATGCCAGCAACCGTGTGTGTTAGATGTGTGATGCATTTTCTCTTCTCCATTTGTGTTATGTCCTTTAACAGAAGGCACAGCTGAGTCCCAGCTAACTGGAGTCACTTTGCTGTTCTGCTGCTTGTTGCATGCACGTAGGAATGGGCAGCGAGCTCCTTTCCCCTTCCCCAGAGCCGTTTGATCTCTCCCAAAATACACCAGCAGCCTGCTTACTACTAAACTCAATCCAAAAGGCCTTTAAAAATACAGTGGATATCTTTTTTTTTTTTGGACTAACCAGCTTACTGACATTATTTGAAACTTTTGAAACATAAACGGAGAGGCTTTTTGTTGAGACACTGTCAAAACAATTTTTTGAAATGTTCCTGAAACTCACATGGATTTGAAGATGAAAGGATGTTACTACCATCCTTATTAGTCGTTGGGAGGAGGAAAAATATGACTTTATTCCACCTGAAAAATATATACAGGCTTATATCTTTTATTGTCTAAAACAATAAGCTAAAATGAATTTCTATAATTTTAATTTGAAGATTGAATAAATATTTTTCATAAAGATAAAAAAAACTATCTCAGAGGCTAATGACTAGGAAACAGGAAGCCTGAGAATTGGCCCTCAGTTTTATCCACATGGATATCATTGATGAAACTGATGAGCAATTTTCATGGAGCAGTATCTTGTAGTAACCTATAATGAAAAAATATGAAAAGAAATATATGTATGTGTGTGGTTGACTGGACCGTTATGCTGTACACCAGAAACTGACACAACATGGTAAACTGACTCTACTTCAAAAAAAATTTTTTAAATATATAGTATTTATTCACTACTGAAAAAAAAAAGGACTCAGTGAGAGTCAAAATCATCTGTCATTAGAGAAACACCAATCAAAACCACAAGATACCACTTCACACCCACTAGGGTGGCTATAGTCAGAAAGTCAGGAAATAACATGTCAGGTGTAGGATGGAGAGAATTCAGAACCCTCATATTTTGCCAATGGGAATGCAAAGTGGTGCAGCCGCTGTGGAAAACCATCTGGCAGTTCCTCAATACGTTAACCATACAATTACCGTACGACCCAGCAATTCCATTCCTAAAGAATTCCATCTAAGAAACTTAAACCTACGTCCACACAAAAATCTGTACATGAGTGTTCATAGCATTATTCACAGTAGTCAAAAATGAAACTATCCCAAATGTCCATCAGCTGATAAGAGGATAAACAAAAGGTGATACATCCCTACAGTGGAATATTATTTGGCAATAAAAAGGCATCAGTGATACACACAGCAACATGCTTGAACCTTGAAAAAGTGCTAAATAAAATCTGTCAGAAAAGAACACATGTCACATGAATCCATTTATATGGGATGTCCAGGATAAACAAATCTGTTGAGACAAAGTAGGCCATGGTTGCCTAGGGCGTAGGGATGGGGGAGGAGAGGGATGAGGAGAGTGCCTGCCAATGAGTATGGGGTTCCTTTTGGGGGGATGATGAAAATGTACTAAAATTAGACCATGGTGATGGCTGTACAAATCTATGAACTTACTAAAGCCCATTGAATTAGACGCTTTCCATGGGTGAACTCTGGAGGAGAGAAACTAGAGACAAATATAGACAGCTCTCAGGGAGATTTGCTGTTAGAAAGAGCAATGTGACTGTCGCTCAAGGAGAAACTGAGGCCAAGACAGGGTGTCTTAAAAATCAGAATAACAGCACGTTTGGATGCTGATGGAAAAGATACCGTAGGGAGGGAAGAATTGATGTTGGAGGAGCAGGTGGGAAGAACCTCTGGAGGGAGATCTTGGAGTAAACCAGAGGTGTGAGGTCTAGTGTCAAGTGGAAGGGGTTGGCACTGGCTCGGAGCACAGATCGTGCGCCCTCTGTAATGGGGGAAGGTGGCCTGCGTGGGCACAGTTGCAGATAAGTGAGAAGATGCAGAAATGGGGACCCTGCATTTTCTTCTTGTCACCTCTGTTTTCTCAGGGAGCCAGGACGGAGGTTCAGGGTGAAGTGATGGGGAGGGAGGGTGTTGAGGCGAGACCATGTGTTACCTTTCTTAAGGAATAAGGGACTAGATGACTGGATGGATCAGGAAAACTCCATCACTGTGCCTAACAGTTTCGGGCAGGTAGTAGGGGCTCCGTAAGTTTCTGAAGGAACAGTGGAGAAATTCCACCCTCACAACAACCCTGATCCCAGGGATTCATCTCTCTATTTTCTGAAGAGGGAATCGAAGGTATCTTGTCTAGGAGGGAGGGTATCTTGTCTAGTTTCAAACAGCTGGCACCCAAGACTAATCCGAGTGCCCAGTTCTCGACCATGCAGTCCCCTTTGTTCTCAGAAAAAGGCGGGGGGGAGGCTCTGTAGAAAATAAATAAAATTCTTTATTATGATCCTAATCACATAGTACAAATGGAGATTAAATAAGAACGGAGAGAAATCAGGAGTCCCAGGACAGCATGGGGACCCCTTTCTCCCTGCCCTTAAGCATCCACATGTACCCTGAGCAATAAATACCCGTCCCCAGAGACCCGGAAGTCCCAGCCCCCCGCCCCCAAGAGTCCAGGCTGAAGAGTCTTGAGTCGACCCCTTCGCTTCACAGAGGACCACCCCGCACGTTCGTGGCTCCGCGG